TATGTAATTATTATATATGTATATTATATACATACATAATATGTATATACATATATATGTAATTTTTTGCCTGGAATTATTCAGAAACCCTTTGAAAAACAATTACACATGAATCTGATTTCCAACACCACCCCCCCCAAAAGAAATACTTTAAAAAATGGAAGTTATACAAGCCTGTTGTTAGCAAAATGCAGGCAACTGTATTGTACCAAAGTGTGAAAGTGACTGGAAATGTCCTACCAACCCCTTTCTTTTTACACATACAAATCACAGTTCATATAACACACGTACTGCTCAGTACCCAGTATTTAAAAGATGGGATAAACATGCACTAATTCACACCACTAAACCATCCTAATGCACAGATCCAGATTGGCAGTAACCTGAAATTAAGCTGTGTGCAAGTCAACTGGTAACCACAGGAACCTGAGACCAGCATAAATCAGAAGCTATATAAAATGGGTGTTTTTATTAATTTCTTTATTTTGTTACTTCCTCTGCCACCTAAAATTACAGTTCGCTTTTTACACTAAAGCACCTAAAATATTTACAACCATCTTCTAATAAAATAACAGTTAAATATTGAAAATAAGATTTTTCTCATAAAATATGTTTTCTATATGTACAGGTTTTATCAAAGAGGACTCAGTTCAATAGTGAACAGTTTTCCATCATCAACCATCAACCAGAAAACAAGTTTCCTGAAATAAAACTATGTTCAACTTATGTACAAAGAGGCAGAACAGCATCTGTTTAACATCAGCCAATGCAACACTTAGTAATAATGAAGTCAACGTTTGAGGCCTAAATCGTGCACTTTTTTTTTTTCCTTTACGAGTAACTTCTTTGGTTATCGTTGCTCTATTATCTTCTTGGCTGTACAATAAACCAGCACCTGATTAATGTTACAGAACCAGGCCTATATATGTGTATATAGATTTATATATACTATGTTTAGCACAGATACCTGTCCAATTGATGGTAGAAAAGTTCCACTGTAGATCCTTTAATACAGTTGCTCTTCAGAATCAAGCCCACGTTTCTACTATATTCCACTCTGTTCTTCAAGTAGAACTCTGAGTGACTTCAGTTACCACCTTGCATAAACATTCATTTTTTTTCCTCCACCAGTAACAGGGGAATCTGAAAACACGTTTCCATTTTCCAGTGTAGCAGCCTGTCTCAGAAGGATCCTTAGAAGCTCAAAATGATACCAGATTGGAAGAGAAAGAGTAGACTCTGCACGGTGGTTTCTAACACAGGCTCCTAAAAGCCAACACAAGTTACTGTTCACGAAAGCCTCCATTTATTTTCAGTGGAAATTTATTATCAGTGGCAAAAGTTGGCAGCATACAGCTGAGCACCCAGCCTGCAGAGCCTGGGTTGCGTGGCCCTTGTAAAAGTAAGATGTAACAGGACAGGAACAGCAAGCTGGGGAGCCTGCTTGCTGGCAGTTCAGGAAAGAGAAGGCTGCTGCCTGAACTGAAACTCACAGGTACAGTAATTGAGAACATCATCCCTTACATCCCAGAGGGAGTGAAATTCCACCCGCTGGTCAACACCAACTAAGAAAAAAAACCCTTCTGGAACAACCCCCCAAAACACTTAAACAAACACCCCGTACACAGGAACTTCACTAACCAGAAACTGAGAAGTGATTTCCATTCTCCTGAAGAGTTGTTCCTTAGTATCAGAACATTCGACCTTAAGTAGAAACTTAGGTCATTTGGCTTCATGTAATTGGCTTTGACAGAGAAGGCACCTCTCTGCCAATGAGTCCCACTGGGTTTGAAACTTCTGAACTATACAAAAGTGCTGTGATTTACCCTCATTTTGCATAGTTATACAAGGAAGAAAGTAGAAAATAAGATTCACCATCTCAGATTCTGCTCAAGATGTTAGGAATGTGGCAAAAAAACCTCAATAAAACAAAACTGAACCTATAAAAAAACCCCAAGTGACCCTGAAATCTGGAAGATCTGAAATCAGTCTTATAAAATATTTTATAAAGTTAGCAATACTCTTCTTTCTAACTGTGCAAAATTCACAAGAAAATCAGTGCTGCTACCTGTGAAAGCTCTACAATCAGTATTCATATTCTGTAATTAAAGGTCCACTCAAACCTAACTTCAATACTTCCTTAATTCTTTCATTCTGCAGGGTACAATTATTTGAGATCCTATTTAGAGAAACAAATCTAAATTCGTATAAATGGTGTTAGACATCCAGCATGTAGATCTGAACCTAACAGGAGAAAACCAGTAATTAAACAGCAACGCCAACTCACCTTTGGAGTATGTTTTACTAAAGAAACAACGTTTGAATTTGATGTAAAGAGGACTGAAAATGGCACAAGAATAACAGTTCATGCCTACAAGTAATAACTGACATGCACTGAAGGCATATGCTCCAATCTCTTCCATGGGCAAGAATGTCTCCCTGTGTTTGCCTGGTGAGAGAGCAAGCTCCTGTGCTACTCAAGCATATGCTCTCCTAAAACCACCGAGATGGCTATTCAACAGTGTGATTTATTGGCACAGCAAAATATATTTCCAGTGCAATCTGATTCCCAAGGCAGTGCTCCTGATTCAGTGTTCCCGATTCAGTGTTCCCATCAGATGATGTGAACCACAGTACAATCATCTTTCTTCAATCCTTGAATTAGGTCATTTTAACATCAGCGGATCAAAACCTTGCTAAAATGGAAGCTCTAAAACGTACAGTGTAACCAATGCTTTTGCAAACTGCCTAACATGTCTGCATTAAGGCAAGACAGAACTGAAAAAGGGCTGTGATACTGCAGATGATACAGTCACTCCTGTCATTATTTCACAGTTAAATCAGAATAGGTTTTTTTTTCCTCCACCTCCCTTAAAATGACAGCACAAAGAACGTAATTATCTCCTTAACAGAGATGACATTTAGTCTCTAGAAGATGCTGGAAGTGATCCAGTATAGGCAAAAAAAAAAAAAAAAAAAAAAAAAAAGGCTCCATCAGAAGTGTCTGAAGATCATTCTTGTAATTGGGGTAAAATGAAACTTGGAAGGAGTTAAAGACTAAAGATCCTATCGGGACCATCTGGAGGGAAGTGATAGCAGAACCATGAACTTCTGTAATTAGTGGCCTTGGAAGTTATCAGCAAAATGAGCTCAGATAAAAACACCTTGTAAGAATATTTGTACCAATTATTTATTTTTCCTCCAAAACACAAATTAATAAAAAAAAAAGAAAAAAAAGGAGATTTTTTTTTTTTTTCTAGACCTGGATAGAAGGATTATCATTTTCAACAGGTAGTTTACAATCAGTGGGGAATAAACGAGCAGTCCAGGTTTCCTGATTGATCCATTCAGGGTGTGCTCAGTAGCTGTCTTTATCAAACAACTTTATTTACAACTCAGCATCATCCTGCAGTAGATCTGCATCTTCATCATCCAACAAAAGGTCAGCATCCATGACTTCATTCTCTTCCATGACATCACCCAGCTCCTGAACAACATCGTCATCAATGTCACCCACATTTCCAACATGTTTAACCAAACTCATGTGATCCAGAGGGATCAAACGATGCCCAACTGGCCCAGTAGTTCTCGCAATAGCGGCTGGCGCTTCTGCTGCCACAGCGGCTTTCTGAGCCTTCTGTCTCTGCTGTTCTTCTTGTTGTCTGTGAGTCTTCATATGAGCATTGCGGCTTTTGATTTTGAAAAATACCCTAAATTTTAAAGGAATTAAAAAGAAAGAAAAAAAGATCAGATAAAAATGCATTCCTTTTGAAGAAGTGAGCCAAAAAAGACTCAACAACCTATCAGTACATTTGCTTCCTTGTCCTGAAATAGAAGTCAGTGAAGTCTGCAAAGCCACGGTGAGAATTTCAGGGACAGACTACCAGATTTATACATCCTGACAGTATCAAAATGGCCTACTCCGACTCTGCTGGAGGTATTTTGTAGCTCCCACAGTTGCTTCAGTGTCTATGCACATCCTAATTCTCCCTGTCCTTAGTTTCACAACAATCCTGCACAGTAGGGAAAACACGAAGGAATCTCATGGTAGGATGGACAAACTCAAGCACAGAAACAGACAAAAAATGACCCACTGTCATATGCAAGTGTGTGATGAAGCAGGAAGCTGGCTGTCAAATGTAGAAATTCTAGCAGGTACATGGATTCAGGAATATTGGAGTAAATACTGCAGGGGAAACATCCAAAATGTCATGCAAACCAATCTCTGAGGGTTCATGCTTCTGAGGCAAAACTGTTCTTTTGAGACCATCAGAGCAAAATAAAGGGTTTGTTGCAATGCTATTCATCTGGAAAATAAACAAGCAAATGTGATACTGCAGAGAGTTATATGCACTTACTTGCCACACTCCTTGCAAGGAAAAATCGTCGTCGGGTCGGTCTCACCGCTTGTTGTGCTGTGGGCAGGTGAACTCTTGATGGAGCAGTACCCGCTCTGCGTACCACATTTCTGCTTCGTGCCTGCAATGGTGCACCGTGGCTTTGTCACCTGGTTCGTACCCCCGTGAATGCGAGCGTGGCCATTCAGCGCCTGACGGGAGCTGAACACCTGACAGAGAGTGGGGTGGGGGAAGAAAAGAAAGAAAAACCAGAAAGAGGTATGCTGAATGCAGAACAACCATACGCGTCTAACATGCATGATCTACTTGGTCAAGTGCTGCTTGCTCTCACCTATATCCCACTAGAGTTAAAGAAATGTAGTCATAATAAAACAAACCAGTGATCTATCCTGTTACTACAGTTGTATAGCAAAAAGATAATCAGAGCTGTCACCATACAGTATTTCTGTTGATACAACAACTCAGGATTCAATTTTATATTACTTGTGTTTTGTGAGCTGGGAATTAAAAGCAGGCAAAATGGCTTGTCCAAAGAGATTCAGGAGGAATCACCAGCCAGGAACAGTCTAAAGCCCTGATTTCACTAGCATGCAACCCCTCCCCCTGCTATTAAATATACTAAACACGTACAGCGCCACAGTTTGGCATTTCACAGATGAAGGAGGACGAAGAAAGTGAAAGACTCTGAAGGGCAGGCAGATCTATAGGTCCAACAAGAGGTATAGCTGGTGGATCAGGAGACTTCTGCATTTCCCTCTCTTCCTTTCTGTCTTCTTCAATGTCCTCATCTTCCTCTAACACTTCCTCCTCTCCGCTTGTCTGAAAGTGAGAGTGCATGTAAGAGATACTAGAATATGGCCAAAGGCAGACAGAGCGGAATACCAGGACACAGTATGGAACAGCATGCTGCTTAATCAAGCGTGCTCCCAGGTTTCAGTACTTTTTCCCCATCCTGAATTCAGAATCATGGAACAGACCTACATCAACTAGTTCAACCTTCTCCTCAAAACAGGATGAACACAACAATTTTCAAGTGTTAGTCTTACATTCTTTTAGACTTACCAGGCACTCCTCTCTTTTCTTCTCTAAACGCGTTCTGTGTTTCCGTCCCAAACGCAAGATTTTCTTCCAGGTATAATAGTATTCCACACATTGTGCAACCGTCTTAGACTTAACCTGTACGTAAGTAATGGCAGAAATAGTCCAATTCAATGTTCTGCTTTCACTTGATACAATTTTAATACAGAATCAGAGAATCAACCGGGTTGGAAAAGGCCTTTAAGCTCATC